GTCATCTTTGGCACCACCAAGGTCCCTCACTGATAGATTCTAATAACCTTGGTCATCTGCAGGACTTTAATCATCAGATTAAAATTTCAGTTCATCTGATATAAAACTAATATCCTTCACATCAGGCTGAGCTGTACTTTGTGTTTAGTGCTAATCATCAAATGTTAGCTTAATAAGCTTCAAGACACCTGAACCTGGTTATTATCTGGCAAACATCATGTTAGCATTGTCACAATGAGTTCAACATTAGCCCAAAGCAATGATTTGCACAAATACAGCCTCTCATAGAGTTGCCAGTGTGACAGCACACTTGCCAGTCTTTGGGTATGGAAAGGATATCAAGTCCCTCCTCTTAACTGTCATTGCTTTCAACATCTGAGAAATCTTTTTATTTCATCAGGTCTATAGTCACCTGGTTCCTGGCTTTCTGAGAAATCTTTTTATTTCATCAGGTCTGTAGTCACCTGGTTCCTGACTTGAGCTCATATCCACACATTAGTCCTGTGAATAGTGAGGAATATTGTGTTTCTCCTCATACCTGGTTGAGTTCCCAGTCACAGATGGCAAAGGTATCACTGCTGACTTCAGAAGCAGACAGAAGCTGAGACACTGTGCAGGGCAAAATCTGAAGAGTTGACTTCTGTGGAGAGGTCACGATGAAGGAATTAATCCACGTTCATCAGAAGACCACATCTGTTTCAGGTTTTCTTCACTTTTTAGTACTTGTTATTCATTGACAGACACACCTTTGATGTCACTGCTTTGTGGCCAGTGATCCCACCAGAAGACTGACTGTAAGCTGTGTCAAAGCAAAAGATAACACCCAGAACAAAACACATGCTTACAGAAATTAGGACAGAGGGGACAAAAGTGTCATTTGAAGAAACTTTAACTTACATTGGTTCCACATGGCAAAATGTCTTTTGTCACATAGGCAGGTACAGGTGTTCTTTGGAATAATTAGACCAAAAACCCGAGAATTCAGGACCATCAGTAGCAGTACATAAACCACTGCAAGGCTGAGAGCACTAGACTTTGCTGGCAGCTTCTTCATGCCCAGGGCCTTCAGGTGAATTGAATTGCAATAATTACCTCTGGTGAAGTGCAGGACCAATGAAAACAGCCTGAGGAGAAAATGGTCAGTATATGCTCCATTTGTGCAAGTCAACACATATATTATTCCAATTAATTTTATTAAAAATCCATGAACTTAACAGTGATTGACAGGTGATCCCACCACTTTTAATAAACTTCATTTAATCTCTTTAAAATATGTTACACTGACAGAAGAGCAAAAATTGTTCATACAAAAGTGAGAAAGCAGAAGGCCGTGACTTCAGATCAGATCCGATCCATTATTTCACATGATTCCCAGTGTGTTCTTCACCTGACACACCCCAGTCCAAGTTGTGTATCATGGTGTTGCATCGCTACCTCACTAATGCGGTCATTTGAACAGCAATTAAAACTTGTTACAGGAAATTTTGAAAACCTTCTTGGCAATCGGTGGAGGAAATGACATTATGCAAGTGCAAAGTAACAAAAACAATGATTTACTGCAAACCAAGAAATAGCTTTTCCATTACAGATGATACTAAAAGATGGTGCCGATGTCTTCACCTACTAGCTGGAGTACAGCTCATCAGCAGTGTGTCTACTGCTGCCACTAGTGGCCAGATGCTGTATTACAGTAATAGTACTGAATAAAATGATGTGCTGTGTCCCAAGTCTACACTGTGGACACTATATACTACAAATGAATGATTGTGGTATACTGCAGTTAAATATCAAAATACGTCACCGCTTTGTACCAACAGGATTTTATATGATAATTGTGTCCCAAATTCATGACAGGGAAACGGTTCCAAGAACAGCAAAGCTTTTTTTTAAAAAAAACAGTTGCAGTTTAATTGCTATTAGACAACAATTTTACATTAAGCAGGAAATTAAGTACGTAAAAAAAAAAAAAAAAAAACTCAATTGTGGTTCAGGCCACAGGTGGCAAAACTGAGCACACTACTGTTAAGCAGCACTCCACTGGGTGATGTAATGGAAGAGACCTGCGACTTTTTATAAACTTGTTTTTCCCCACACTGTCACTAAAGCAAACTGCCTACTGGCAGGTAAGTTATTATTTTCAACATTTCTACTGTAGCAAGTGTTATGAGCCACTCAGTGAGTAAAATCTCCAAGTCTGAGTATATACCATGTATGTTGTTCCACACACACATCTGACTAACAGCCCAGAAGTCCAAAAGGAGGCTGTTCCACATAGTCCTGTAGCAGTGAGAACAGACGGCTGCATACCAGCTTTGCTTACACAAAAATCACAAACAATAGGCCAATGAAAACTAACAATTATCACTAGCACACCAACAGTATTAACCTGGAAATATGTCACATCATTTCAATGATTGAAGTAAACTGAAGCGGAATTAAGAGCTTAAGAAAATCCATAATTGCAATTTACAATCAAGTTCAGGCTCTTGAAAACAGAGCACATCCAGTCAAATGTACATTAATCTTGTTCATCCCCTGTTGATCCTGTACAGTATGTACACATGTGCAAAGGAACAGAATACAACAAATCAAAAGTCAAACTCTCCTGATACCACAGACCAGGCGTTTGTTTGGCTAACCTCAGAGGAAGCCAAGGGCCTCCGTCCTCCATCCTATTGTCTAGAAGGGTAGGAGGAAGAAATCTGGCCAGAAATGACTACCCATCATCCTCTGCTTCTAGCATTGAGGATATGGGTGACCTACTCTGAGTCCAAACATTGCTGCTCGTGTACAGAAAGACAGAAATATCACATTCTTGAAGCAAAGCAACATTGTCCAAAGCAGCATAGATGTCCTGTGAAAAAGACAGGTGTGTTAATACTGATCTGTGGTATTGCTATTCATACCAAAGCACCATGCTGAAAGACACTGAAAAACTCAGGCACAACTTCAGCCAATTTTGTGTTTGAGTGTAATGTTGACAAAATAAAAAAAAAAGTGGTGAATTTCTGAAATAAGGCAAATCGCACTCATGACAGGCAATAAAGCTATTACAGCTACGGGGAGAATTAAAGGCCATGTATCAGATGAATGTTGGCAACACAGCTAGAAAATTTAGATTTTCTGCCAGAGTTCGAGTGCAACAAGATGTCGAGATCGTTTTGTTTTACAGGTTCTTGTAAAAATTTGTCAAAGTATGACGTGGAAGGCATGATCCTCTGCCAAGTGCTGCAACAACTTAATAGGCTTACAATTAGCCTGTTGGAAGCATGAAGAAAGGGCTTGCTTTAAGATACGGAGCCAAAGGAAGCAAGAAGCAGTAACAGCGAGAGGAGATCACATTCAACACAACAGTACTGTGTGTCAAAGGAAAAAAAAGAAAAGGCAGCGATCCTCTGGCTTGTGGAGGATTGTGCGTGCTGGTGTCTTCTCTCACTTCTTCCCTGAAGGTGAGAGGCACTGCATGCATAAGTAGACTGTTAGCTGACATTTTGTTTGCCTGATAAACTAATACCAGCAGTTATCGCACTCAATCCAGCCTCACAGGGCACCTCCATATAAATGCAGTAGCTAGTTACAAGGAATAAATACAAACAAAATAAGTGCTTTCACTGAATTCCAAATGAACTCTAGTGTGAATATTCATGTCACTGCCAATAATACAAGTAGCTCATACTCCAGATAACATAATCTACGTCTGCACAACACAGGGATTTCTCTCAGGAGTCAATTTGTTTTCCATGTGTGGGGGAGTCACTCCACAAAGCCCGAAAGCTTCATTGGAGTGTGCTCGGTTGCTTGGATTTCCTTATCATTATTAAATAATTCTGGTTTACTACTACTTGGGTTTTAGTTTTATAGTTTTGGACATTATTTCTATTAGCCACTGTATAATAGCAGTGTACTGTACGAACACGGCAACACCACTACACTGTGGACCAACAATCCATCAGGGCGCACAACATGATCAGTTGTTATAAGCTGTAAACTTCCCAACAGTTTAGCCAGATTGTCTTTTCTCACTTTACTTGGAGGGGAAACTGAAAGTGAGCTCACCCAAAGTACTGGAAATAAAACCACCCTGCACTAGATGTGAGTGTGCACAAAGAATAATTATAGTTGAATCAGGAACTGATCATCTTTGAGAGACGTTTACCTCAGAGTTTGGCCCCACCTTTGTTTTCTCCCACACCTTTTACAGAAACTAATACCCGGGCATCAGGTTACTTCTTAGGCGAAGAGTTAGCATTATACAGTAATTAGCTACTTTTAAATACACGTGTTTTCTTAGAGATATAAATGTAGCACGGACAAAAGCCAGTATTAATAACCCAAGCTAGTTTGCAATGCTTCAGGTGTGTGAGAAAGAGCCCCATTAACAACTGACACCTTCACCATGTGGGAGCCAGTGTAACACTGCTCACTGTTACATTAAAGGTTGGGTTGTGCTATTTATTGAACTCAGGGAAGTTTACATGAAATATGAAAAAAGCAATTGCTTGTTCTCATCTTCAACCAATTTCTAATGTTTACAAAGGGTAAAAATTAAGCAGAAACTCAGTCTTTGTGTAGCTCATCTTAGCTAAGTTTCTCTTGTAAACATCTGAACAGCACAATCTATCATTATTTGATTATCAATTCTGACTGTGTCAAACAAGGCGTGACACTACCCCCCAGAGTTCAAAGTGAAAGTGTCAAATGTCTTGTTTTGTTCAACACTTCAGTTTACCAAGATAAAAAAACAAGAAATATTTTCAGTGGGGAAGCTGGTATCAAAGACTTTTGGCATTTTGCTTTAAAACATGGCTCAAAGCAATAAATCCCTCATCAAAACTGTGGCTGATTAATTTCCTGTCGATTGTCTAGGCATTGCAGCTCAAGTTTTTTTTTTTTATCATAGTAAAATATAACACTAAATCAAACTATCCATGCCGTGCAATACAAAAACATTCCTACTGCTTTATTTCCATGTTCTCAGCATCAACCATGAAACCCTTGCGTATTTAAGACCCTTATGCTGAGTTATTGTTTTCATACATTAGGAAATCCAGCTGGAGAAAGCACTTTTCAACTAAATCAATGTTAATTAGTAGAGATGCATTCATTGCAATTTTCTTGGCCGATTCCAATTTCTGATTCTTTTTCTTTTAAATCTGACCTGCTAATTCCGATTTTGGCCGATTCCATTATTTCTTTCTAAGAACTGTAATTGACTGCATACACAAATATTTTTAGTTAAATTGCAATAAATATAAAACTTTAATACAGAGTTTAACATTTTCCGTCTTTCTCTCAGTCTTTCTTCCGGATATCTCAAATTGATCGCCCAGACACTGGTCAAGGCCGATCACGCTGAAAACCAGCCATTTCCAATCTTCGGCAATCGGTCAGTGCATCATTATTAATTAGCTAACTACAGCTAATTACGCAACAGTAACTAATAGGTTCAGATTAATCAACCAATCAACTGAATTAGTGTGTACAAAGTTACTATTAGCAACAGAAAAGATGGCCAAAACCATGAAAATGAGACCCAAGCAGCAACGCAGAATATCTTTTAGGCTCTCTTCCTCATCAACTCTGTGAAGGGCTTCGTCATTAAAAGTGTTCTTATGTTTAAGGCTCAATATAAAATGTATCATCTTGATCGTTACACATTCTAGTAGACTGGTTGGGGGTGTGTCTGTGTCCAATCCATGCATCTTCAAGTTTGGAATGGGCAGAAAGAGGAAACACCAACCACAAGCACCTGCAGGCTGGATACTTGCTGATAAAATGTCCTCCACCCACACAACCAGCAAAGCAGCCTTGAAACAGTTATCTTTAAGCACCAGAGTTTGGTATTTTTAGTCTGTAAGACCACTGAGCAACACTGACCTTGTTAGTAGAAGCTTGTCTACAAATACCATCCGTTTGTCTGTAGGTTTTATTACCTGAGCATTCAGGGCGTACAGTATCTGCATTTGATACTGAAACAGAATCTAATCTGGGTGTAAAAATGATGTTCATTACTGCTGGTGGTAACGGCCAGGGTGAAATCTGATTTCTGGTCAGGTTCTGTCAAAGCCTCAAACTGCTTCAAAACTTTCTACACACTGAGGTGAATGTGTTTTAATATTGGCCCTTTGGATAAAAGTACACAGGATAAAGTCTCACATCTTATATTGCATTTAGATACAATTAGCACCAAGATGGTATTTATAAATAAGCAGTTTGACTGCTACTTTGACTTTCACTTCTAATTAAATGCTGAATTGATTTGACATCTGGGGTCATTCGGCTCCTCCACACTCGAGTGACTCTGTAAGGAGGAAGGAGTTGTGATGTGATTAGCCTGAGACTAAGCCGCAGTTCTGAGCAGCAGCAGTAATGATAGCAGCAGCAGTGGGTGACCTCTCCTCTTCATTATAAACACACAGCTAGTACAAGTTTGTATGTGCTTAGTCAGTGGATGAAGTTTAAGCCATTAGACAAACAATCATTATTCTCTAGTTTTTTTTCCCCTAGTAAAAAACAAAACAAAAAACGAATTCCCAGTTATGTGACCATCTAGGTTAACAGTAGCTGATGAGAAGTATGCATGTGCTTGAACGGCTGTGGTGCCGTTCGCTCGTCCATCACGTGTCCCAGTCCAGTTCTCTGCAGGCAATACGGACCAGTCTGAGCTCCAGTTCACAGGCGTCAGGCCGTTCCTGAGGGTTGGCCGACAGCATCTCCCTGATCAGCTGCTTCATGTGGCTGTTCATGCTCTTCTTTCTGGCAGGGATCAGCAGCTCCATCTTTGGGTTCTCCAACAGGGCCTCTCCTAAAGGTACAATCTCCGAGCCCTGCTGCACATAGCTCCCCAGCAGCTCCTTCTGAGTCTCCACATCCACAAAAGTGATGCGCTCAACCATGGCCCAGATAATCACTCCGAGGGCAAAGATATCCGCCTTGGCCGTGTAGTGGCCCTCCCAGACCTCTGGAGCCATATAGAAGTCTGTTCCACAAGCTGTGGACAGGAAGCACTTGTTGACACCGGCCGGCTCCTCAGGGTTGAGCCCGGAGGTGGAGCAGACCTTGCTCAGGCCAAAGTCAGCCACTTTGAGGGTGGGCTCAGATGAGCCAGCCGGTGTGCAGGCCTGGGAGATGAGGATGTTGTCTGGTTTGAGGTCACGATGTATAATCTGGTTGCGGTGCAGGAAGGCAAGAGCGCTGCCAAGTTGCAACATGAAACTGGTGTTGGTCTTGCGACTAGGTTTGCGTGACAGCAGGTAGGCGTTCATGTCACCACCATCACAGAAGTCCATGATGAACCACAGGTAGTAGGCACAGCACGGGTCAAATGTGATCTCGCCTTTCAGTGACGTCTCCACCAGCTGCAGTACAAACAGAAAAAGAAAAAGTCAACACAACAGCAGCTGCAGCTGAAGGTCAGCTTCTGTATTCCCCACAAGTAGGGATGTGCAAGTAGGGATGTGAAGACAGTAGTAGCAGTAATCACAGTAACAGAAATTCAACTCTATGCATGTGTCTAAAGTCAAGAGAAAAGTTGAATTGATTCTGCTGAACAACACAGCCAAAACAAAGCCACTAAGCAAACTGCCTGACATCTACATTTACACCAAATAAAATCAAGGCACAGTATTATCTCAAACCCCAACAGACAAAGCTGCAACTACAGCAGAACCAACATAATACTGACATAATGGGAAACAGCCCTGTGGTGTGAGGAGGAGAAAATGTCACCACTGGGTGAAGAAGCCAGGCTGTTCGGCTTTGTATTAGTAACATGTTGTCTCCCGCCCGCCTCTATTGGCCATTTGTTACATAAAAACAGAACGAGAGGATGCTCATTTGTTCTCCCTGCTGCAGAAAGTCAGACCACTAAATCACCTTCTTTGACAACAGACCACAAACCCACATTAACTGGGATGTGTTTGTGAAGTTAATGTTGAAGATGCTAAAAAGAGCTGAAGACTGATGAAGTTCAAGCACTGACAGGGAACTGTAAATGTGAAACTTTAAGTAATACAATGAAAAGCTGGGGGTCAACATAAAATGTAATCCCTGAAAGAAGATAAACAATCACTTAACCAATAAGAGTCAAAAGCAGTAAAACTGTTGCATCAGGTATAAGTGCTGAAAACAGCTGAAATGTGAGTTGAAGAGTAAAACCTTGATCAAAGCCAGATGCAGACAACTGCAGCCTTGTACAGGTATCTACACAAACTACAGGCCAAATAGTCAGTAAAACTGTGTGCGTGACAATGGATGTGCAATATAGTACATACACCCAATTGCCAGTTTATTAGGCACACCTAGCTAAAACCAGCCAATGATGACCTTCCAATTCAACAAACTTTTTTGACATAGGAAGCATTTACGTTGTCATACATACAGCAAATCTCATCTCATTTTCTTTACCGCTTAGTCCTATACAGGGTCGCGGGGGGGCTGGAGCCAACCCCAGCCAGCATCGAGCACAAGGTGGG